GTGTATGCGCACGCGCGCGCGCGCGCGCGCGCGTGTATGTGTGTCGTGCAATCGTTCAGATGACTCATTGTCGAGCGTAATTTACGTGCGTGCATGTTGGCTGATCACCCGATGAATGAGACGTCTGTTGGGGGAAGTGGAAGTAGCGTTTTCGAATTATTCATCGTGCATAGTCTTCGAATGAGTTTCCTGCTGGGAGATCGGTTCCTACTCGGTTTAATAAATCTCGCTTCTTGAAGACCTATCTAATATTCATGAGAAAAAAAAATGAAAAAGAAAGATCGTGAGTCAAGTAGTTGATTGGTGGATACTTCATAATGTCTAAGCGTAATTAGCGTACAATTGACGTCGATTAAATAAGACGTCTATAAGAATAGGAAAAAAACGGAGAACGGTTGTTAGATAGATCCATATGTTTCCGAGGAAATGACTGTAATTGTTAATTATGACGACTACGCATTATCCGTCGTTAATAGATCCTCATTTGTTTATCTTCTGCCGCAATTTATTTTTTCAAAATCCAACAAGAATGCTCGAAGAGCATTGTATAAAGTTTAACATTCTTCAAAACTCGTTATCTCGGCATTATATGAATAATAGAAATTTATCAAGCAATTAAAAATTAATAAACGACAAAATACGAAATTTTTCAAGTTTTTGGAGATCCAGTTATTCGTCGAGGCGGCATCTCTCCCGAGTGATTGATTCCAAAATACAGTTTTAGGTAGCGTGATGGTCGCGCGGCTTCTCCAAAAGCCGTTTCGCAGCGAAGACTTTGTTTTCAGCGGGCGTTTAGCCGCGAGATGAAGGAAAAAGGGAGACAAAGTCCGTCGCCGTGGCGCCCGAGGTGTGGCCGGCGCCTCCGCGGAAGAAGCGCCGAGTCACACCGCCGCATCGGGGCGTGCACTGAGCAACAAAACTTTAAGCGGGCACTTAAGAAGCCGCCCGTCAGTCAGGACCGTCACTAATTTTCCCGGCTTTTTGCGGCAAGCGCGCGGCCTACACCCCCTTCCGCGCGTCCTCTCGCGCGGGGCGCGACGTGCCGCGACGCGCACACGTGCTCCCGTCCTACTTCGCTCGGTTTCCTCATTTTCGTCCTAATTAAACGCGGCTGAATGTCAACATGGCGAAAATTAATTAGCGCGCGCCGTTACGCCACGGCAATGCCGAGGGATGGGGAGGGGAGGGGAGGGGAAGAGGGAGGGGGGTGGGGAGGTGGGCGGACAGGAGACGGGAATTTCACGGCTCCGAGTATTGCGCGAGACAAGTACAAAGATTAAAGCGCACGTCATGCTGATCTGTAATTTATGCCGCGCGCGATATACGGTACTTCACACTTTGACGATATTTAATGAAACGTGTAGCAATTAATATAAGTTCCGCGAATGTATACCAGGCTTGATTTCGTTGACACGATTGTGTTTATTTCGCGCGTGTGTATATACGAGTGTCCCTTCTAATTACGTCGATCAAAAATCTATTTTAATAATGTATATATATATATATATATATATATATATATATATATATATATGTGTGTGTGTGTGTGTGTGTGTGTATATGTAAGAATTAGATTACCGATAAGCGGTCATGAAAGAGATTCGGAATATAAACAGCCATAGAGGAACCGTTGCGGTCGTGCAGAATTAAGTGTCTGTAGACGAGGGATTTCCCGAGTTCAAATTCAGTTGGTCTCCGTTTATCTTTTCGAATCTAATAAATATCTTTCAGCTCAGAAGTGGGACACAGCCCATGTTACCTCAAAAAGGATACAGTCTATGTTACCTGACAGGGAGAATTCAGTCGATTTGTGTGTTGTTTGTGTGTGTCGTTCGGAATGAACGAAGTAAAGGTACTCCAATGTCGTGTCGATCGTTCAGAGATAAACGAAAAGTTGGGGAGTAAAAGTTATTCCAATTTAATATGTGTCGTTCTAGGTGAACGAACTCGGGGAGCAGAAGCTTCAAATTTCGGGTAAAATTTCGATAGATGAAGACTCGGTACATTCGGGACGAACGTAATGTCAGAATGGCCGAGCTGTAAGAATTAGATGACCGTAAGCGATCATGAAAGAGATTTGGAATATAAACAACTAACAGAGAGGAATCGTCACGATCGTGCAGACTTAAGTCCTTAGTAATAGACGAAGGATCCCGAGTTCAAATCCAGTCGGTCTCCGTTTATTTTTCCGAATCTAATAAATATCTTTCATATAAAGCTTTCGAGCTGTAACGAGAGATCGTTTTAAAAACGAAAAAAAATCACAGCGATAAGGGCTTCGGCTTTCCTTTTGTAGAGGCATTCAAAATTCGATCGATCATCAGCAGCTCGCTCGTGCCGGAAACGTTCACGTTTTTCAATTCGTTACGCATGAACTAACAGGACAAAACCCGAGTTTATTTCTCGATCGGTATGGGACGGCAGGCGAAACGCAAACGAGATATGACGCGGATATAACAGTAATTCGCGCGCTACACAAGTTCTGTATCAAAAGCGATCCTTAATCACCGTTGTCCATTACGTCGATCCGACGTAATGAGCGAGCAAACTGCCGACTGTAGAAAATAAATAGCCGTAACGATTACGCCGTGTACAGTTGCAATGTGCGAGAAGTCAGGGACGTGATATGGGAAACGAGCAGCGGTCTTTTGAAAATCGTGGACTTGGCGGCACGCAATTACGCACGGGGGAGGGGGGGGGGAAAGAAAAGAAAAGAAAAATTGAACGGCCGCCGAAATGCAGGCACGATCTTTCACGATCGGAGCGGCGCAACGCTTGGCAGCGCTCGCTGCCTGTCATTACGCCATTCGCTCCACCACCGGTAATTGACAGTCTAATGACACAGTCTAGAGTCTGGCGTTCACCTCGCCTCGCCCCTACCTTTTCGTACATCGTACATCACGATCTACGAGGGATCCTCATTAACGATTCGCCTTCTTTGTGCGCGATCGGCCGCTTGTCTAAACTAAACGGCCGCCGGTAGAAGTCGCGAAGTCATGACTTGTGGGTGTTCCCTGCTAATCACCGTACGTTTCAGCGCGACGAGAAGAACAAGAGAGTAATGATAATTAAGTGCGTAATGAGATCAATATGTAGTCGGCATGGGGGGGGGAGGGGGATTTTGCATATCGATCGATATAAAATTGAGATTTTAATGGAGACGAACCGGAATTTTAATTGATTGAAAAGAATTCGAATAACGCATATGACATATATAACAAGAGGAGAGACGGCACTGTGTAATTCCGGCGCTATTTGTCCGTAGTTTTTTCAAGAAAGAAGAATTGTATAGAACTTTCCCCGCCGATGTTACACTCGTTTACTCGGGACGAAGCGTATCGAAGTGATTCCGCGGAACGATCCATGGCATGCGATTTTAATTTCGCTCGGTAAACTTTCGGTGTGCGGGACTTGCGAGATAACCAACAAGCCAGCTGATTAGATTGGAAAGAGGGGGACGGCCAACGAAAAACCACGAAAGGACCACAGGCGCCACTGGATGACTTCGCGAAACTATGTTTTACAAAGGATGCCGCGGAGGATTTTGAAACCGATTCCAGCTGCCTGGTCTTACTTTCGTAAAGGAACCGACGAATCTAAAGTCAATCTATAATGGACCAATGTAAAACAGCAGTCTTAATATTTTCAAAATAAATCCTTTCTCTCTAATATATTTTCTTCTATTTTTATTAAGTTTAGAAAAAATGTTTTACGTATCTTAAATCTTAATCTATGAAGATAATAATTTTTTTTGACAGTGCAATCTAAAGTCGGATCTAAATAAATAAATACACATATTTCAGAATAAATACACATATTTTCAGAATTTTTTCAGAAAATATTTGGATTCGATTGCACAATTTTTAATTAGAATTTTCAGAAAAAGAAAAAAACATCTGTCCCGTAACGATCAAAATTACTCTTTTAACTTATTAAAGTGTCGACCAGGACGATATTCTTAAAATCGGGATAGGCCGTAAAACCGGTAACGGAGGCGCATGACTCTCGAGATATTTGCTCGGGTTTTGGCCAACGATCCTCGCGTTTAACCACGTAAAC